CGTTGTGCATCAACGTCAGCCCTCAGTATGTTATACTTTTAAAGGTGCCATATTAGAGAATACTTAAATCTGGTAAATAACTTGTGCTTATTCAATCCCTAAACCAGTAGTAATCAAACTTGAGCACACATCAATACCACCTGAAGAGTCATCTTGTTGAATCACAGATTTCTGGTTCTCAGCCCAAGAGTTTCTGATTCAATAGATCTGAGGTAGGCCCAGGAATCTGCATTACTCCTAAGTTCTCAGATGATATTGATGCTGCTGCTCCAAGGGCCACGTTTTGAGAAGCACTGGTCTGAATCAATCTCTGGTACCTAGGAACACTGAGAGAAAGCACGCCGCTAAGGAGAGCAACTTCATTAAAGTCATTTAAATGCCTAGCTCAGATGTGTTCACTGAGAACAATGAACGTACATCAAGGAAGCCAAGCCAGGAGCTCATGGGTCAGGTGACTAAAAGGGCCTCACCCCATTGCTAGCACAGGAAACCTTATTCCATTCTAGAAGTCTCTTATATTCTATGGACTAAGGAACACAGCATGTTATTTCCTACCATTCCATAATTCAAATGAGAATTTTTACTGTAATAATCTTGTTCTTTACTACTGTATGTACATGTTGTTATAATTTAGCTACATTTTTAGCAGGTTTATTCAAGGTGACCCTGAAGTTCTTACAGAAAAATAAACATATAGGAAAGTTAGGAAAACAATGAAAAGGAAGATATTGAGAAGTGGAGAACCAGACCCAAAGAGCAGACCCAACAAATATTTAAACATTCTTATTAGAAAGCTTCCATAAGCTCAAACAATGTGGCACTGGAGTATTGAATACATAAATCTGTACGACATAGTCCAGAAACACACCCAACTATACATAAATGGACAGCATATGACAAAGGTGGTATTTCTTAAGTTACTTTCACAAAGTTAGTGGTTTTACAACTGGTGCTGAGAAAACTTGATAGCCATTTGGAAAAAGGATAACATTAGACACATTTTTAATACTATACACAAAAATATAATCTAAATGGATCAGATAGCTAAATGTAAAATATAAAACTATGCAAATCCTATAAGAAAATATATATTACTTTATAACCTGAGTATTGGGTACTCAGTAAACTCCTGAAACAATAAAAGGAAAATATGGTAATTTTGACTGAACAAATTTTTACATTTGCATATACAAAACATCATGACCAAAAATCAAATGACAAACTGAGAGAAAATATGTGCAACATATAGCACAGATAAAGAGTTAGCAGCCCTAATGTATATATAAAAGAATTTTTAAAGTTCAAGAACAGAGACGGAAATCTTACAGATCAAATATATGAAAATAAATTCAACTGTACTCATATTAAGGCTAAATAGAAACTAAAACTTGGCAAGCATACCAAAACCTCTCAGTGCATTCTATTTGTTGAAGCTAGAGAAAAACAGGTGCTCTCATGCACTGTTGGGAAGAATGCAAAACGGCATAATGCCTATGGAGGGGATTTTGGCACTAACAAAATTACATATGTATTTATCCTTCAACTGAGCAATCCCACTTTCTGAAATTTATCCTTAAGATACACCAACAATATAAAATGTATACACATAAGGTTATTGCAGCATTACCTGTAATTGTTAAAATATTGGAAACTGTCTGTGAAAGCACAACAGTAACTTATAACACTTATACACAATGAAGTATTATGCAGCTGTAAAAAGAATAGCTATGTGCTAATATGGATTTTGAAAATATATTAGGTAAAAAAGTAAAGTCCAAGAGAACACATAGATTGTGCCATCTTTGGAAAAGAACAAAGGGAAAATAAGAAAGCATACATATCCATTTATCTTTTCATTAAAAAACGCAGAAAGAGTAAACCAGAAACTTGTGAAGCTGGTTACCTTCAAGGGATGTTAGAAAAGTGGGTAGAGGGAATACTGAAGGAGTGAAGGCTCTCAAATACATTGTTCTATATACTTTTGATTTAGAAACATATTATTGTGCTATATATTCAAAAATAAATCCGTTAAGAATAGGAGGGTGGACTAAAACTGAAACAAATAAATCCAACTGATTTAAAATGGACACTGAAACAATAAAAACTTAGTTATAAGTCATTCATCACCCTACCTGACAGAACTATACATTACCTAGAAGCCTTGGCTCTGAAGATACACTTGAGAAGTACAGGCGACATTGGGTATTCTTTGTTGGGGAAAGAGTAGTACATTATACCCATTTTATATAGATAGAGATTTTTAAAAGTGTAAATATGGGAAGGATTTTGGGTACCCAGAAGGAAAATAGCAAACATGGTTTGCTACCCACCATTTATTTGTCCTTACTCCGGCTACAATGTAGCGCTTTCTATTAGAAGTTAACACTCCTCTTCCCATTTTCAATTATTTTTTATAGAGTTGACTTTACCCCAGGAACCAAACATAAGAGAGGAGGTAAGGTACAGACCTATTGTTTGTCCTGTTGCCATTTAAGTGATGGAGAAGAAAATGTCTCCATCAGTGTCCCAGCCAGTAAGTCCCCTTTGCTTATTTCAGCCAGGTTAAGTATTAGCACTTGCAACCAAAAATGGCCTAATGAATTTGCTGGATTACTATAGTTAAAGACATTATCCAGTTCAATGGTCCTGGTATAAGGCTCCCCCATGTTAAATACTTTAAAAACTCTAATACTAGCAAAAAGCATCTTTTGAAGAATTTGCTTGTTTCTTGTCAGCTAATTTTTATGCAACCCACTTCTCTTGTTGGCCTTTCCTGTAAGGAAGCCTATAGCTAATTTCAATGTGGAAATAAATTACCTGTTAGCCCTGGCTATTGGGATATATTTTCCTGGGTTGTGTGAGTGTGTGACTGTGAGTGTGTGTGTGTGTGTGTGTGTGTTACAATTTTAACAGCATTACTGTATACATGTGTGCTACCATAAACAACCTTGAATCTCTTTAGCAAGGATAAATAATAAGTTTCGGTCACAGAAACATAATTGACACATTTGTTGAGAAAAAAAAAGGCATCTATTAATAAAGAGATCGTGTTTTTGTCAGAAACTAAGTGATTACAGGATATTAAATAAGGTGACTTACTTTAAAATACTTTTAAAGACAAACAAAAAAACCTAAAATACCCACATTCAGAAAATATATCGAATGTACCCAAGAGTCTTGAAGCAGGAAAAAGGGAAGACCTGGGTCCTAATCTATGCTTAAGCATGGACTTGGGGCAGAGAGATGAGGGAAAGACAGAGAATGGGAGGTTACCCTGTGCTTGGGTAGAACAGGTTCTACCTTGGAGAGCTAGAAACAACCAATAATAAAAGAACATAATATCAAAAATAAGTCAGCTCCATTCCCATTCAGTTTATTTCTTCAAGTAAAGAGGACACTGGAGGAATCACGGAATAAACAAATGATGGTCTGCTTCTTCTATTCTTCACCCTATGTTCCTTGTCAACACAAGAAGAGTAAATCATGTGTAGCTTCATAGAGCTAAATCATTCCAGGGCCCAACAGACCAGAAAGTACATCCCAGATCTTGATAGGTAATGCTTAACAGAAAATGACAGAATGGAGTAATACTTTCATGGGAATGCATGTCTTCGAGTATAAATTCTATGTAAAATTTATATTTATATATTCAAGTATAATTTGTCCTCATTGAAGAAGTATAAATGATAATTAGATATTTTAGTAAGGGGTTGGGAGAGAGGCGGCATGAAAGAAGCAAAAGAGGTGGTCAGGTGGGAAGCAACTTTTGTAGACTTCCCAAAGTTGGCCTGGGGTCTGTCCTGTTCACCTTTAGAAAGTTGAGGAAAACATAAAAGGTTACGTGGAGATTTTGGTCACCAGGCTCCAAATGCATTTCTGAACCACATATGAAACCAAGTTTCATTTTTTAAATATTTATTTATTTATTTGGAAGGCAGAGTTCACAGACACAGGAGATAGATCTTCCATCTGTTGGTTCACTCCCCAAACGGCCACAACAGCCTGGGCTGGACCAGGCTGAAGCGAGGAGCCAAGAGCTTCTTCCAGGTCTCTTATGTGAGTACAGGGGTCCAAGAACTTGGGCCATCTTTCACAGCTTTCCCAGGGACATTAGCAGAGAGCTGGATGAGAAGTGGAGCAGCTGGGACTCAAAACAGCACCTATATGGGATGCTAGCTTCATAGGCAGCAGCTTTACCTGCTATGCCACAAAGCTGGCACTGAAATCAAGATTCCATGTCTGTATGTAAACGTGTTAAAAATTAGCACGGTCTACATATGTGTGACAGTTTTAGCTAAATTTCTGTTATTCAACTTGTTTCCAAAGTTAAAAGAATTTTGCCAGTACTCAGAAAATAAAATTTTAATTTGTCCTCACTGCAGACAAATGCATTTTCCTGATAAGTCCTAGAATATTCCAAGTCTTCATGCTCATTATCTTGAACTCTCTTACCTTATAAGAACCTTAGAAAAGTAACCTGAAAGTGGAGAAAATATTACAGTTCAGGATATATCAAGGCATATTCATAAACAAGTGATATTCTTAAACACTTGCTACAATTGGCTCCTGAATAATGTGTATTACAGGGCCAGCATTGTGGCACAGCAGGTTAAGCTCTGCCTGCAGCCTGGCATCCCATATTGGAGTGCTGCTGGCAGTTTACCATCCCACCGGCTCAGCTTCAGATCTGCTAAGGCACATGAGAAAGCAGAAGATACTGGCCCAAGCACTTGGCCCCTGCCATCCACATGGGAGACTCAGATGGAGTTCCAGGCTTCTTGCCTGGTGCACCCCTGGACTTGGGGTCATTTGGGGAGTGAACCAGTGGATGGGATGGAAGATCTCTTTCTGTTTCTCCTTTTCTATCATTCTGCCTTTCAAATAAATAAAACTTTTTTAAAAAATGTGTATGACTTCCAGTGAATTCTGCAATTAGCTCTACATGTTTAACGAAAGCAGACAGAGTCTTATATCCATAAATGATCAAGCATGGTCAAATGTAAAATGTTAGAAAGTTGCAGCCTTTTTATTTAGTACTCAGAGAATGCCAGTAATTTAACATGGTATCTTGATAATTGTTGCTCACAGAGTTTTTAACAAGAACAAAAATAAATATAATTTCTATGTCATCTTTGGCATGTTTTAAATTCAAAATGATAGCCATGTCTTTAGCAGCACTGTGAGGGAAAAAAACATTGTAAAATGCACTACTAGATTTGGTCTTACATGATGAAAAGTGCAGTACAAAGAATGAAAACTTTAATGTCAAAAGAACAGTGCTTTAGAGAAAATATTTATAAATAAATGATGGTATAAATTCCATAACATAGTCTGAAAAATAAAAGACAGTTATCTGAACACTGGGGACCATTTCTTCAATCGTATTTTTTAAGGTTTTAAGTATATATAAATAAAACGTACACATGCCTTCTAATTAATGCCTTTTCTGTCTTGAGAAGTGCAATGAAATCCCAGTAACTATGGTATTTCTATATTGGAAAACAAGCTTAGAAATTCAAAAATGCTTGAGAAGTGGTGGCAAACTTTTAATGTAGCTATAGCAAACTATGCTTTCTCTGAATAAAGCCTATGTAACTTACAACCAACATTATTTCCCGTTTAACAGCAACAACAACAAAAACACAGAAAAACCACATTCGACCTTTTTTTGTTTAAGGAATTTAATGCAAAATAAATTTTCATTTCCAAATCATGCTGGCATTTGGACATTTAGTTAAGATTTTATGTATAACCCTAAAAATGGCTGTTTCTTACTACACTGCTTTTTTGTTTTTAAAGTAATTTTACTATACTAAAAAACAGTTTCTTTGCTGTAAGTGGTATCAATGTCAGAGAGATAAATTTTAAAAAATAAATCAAATGTGACCTGAGTAATTTCAGTTAAAAGAAAAAAGCAAATAATGTAATCACTCATATTATGAAAATTAAGAAACTACTGTATATGTTACAAACCTGCCAAAGTTAGATGCTTAAAAAACGACCTTTTGAAGAATAAATTAGATTCCATAAGAAGACAACTAGAAGGAAAGCAAAACGGTCATCCAAAGAAGCTCTATTTTTTGGGGCTCAGAAATATGAATACAGAAAAAAAACCTAAGTTGCCAATTACATATGTATTTATTTGCAAGCACTAAGCTAAAAATTTCTTGCTAGTTAATAATTGAAAGGCATATAATTGGTTAATATGACTGGATTGAATTTCTATATTCCAAAAGCACTTTTCCTCTATGTTTTTTTTTTCAGATTTCAAAGAAATGTAGGTCTATAATTTAGTACTAACACTTCAAATATAATTCCCCCATGAATTAGCAACCAAATTGAATTTTAAGTGATTAAGCATTATCATTTCATTCAAATTATATGATGAACTTCACTATACTGTAAGACTAAAAGCCAGAAACCATGCATTCATGAGTATAATGTATGTTTTGAAAAGTCACTAGCAATGCCACTACGCTCCTGTATAGGAAGGCAGCACATTACTGATTTATTCTGCTAATTCCAGCAATCACTGATCTTGTGATACACACAAAAAACACCTGAATAGGCTTTGAAATATAAAATATTATTGCAAATTTTAACTGCCCTTGGTCAAGATACTCTTAAAATGGCCTGCTTGCATTCTTGCTGATGAATAACATTGTGATAAATATAATCTCTAGGTCCTCAAATCTAAACAAAGAATCCAGAAACTTAAGACTAGGGATAGTTTTCATTCAACCGTTCTGTGCTTTTGTTTATCAATATAATAGGAATGGGGGAGGGACAAAACTCGCAATAGGTCATGTACTCAGAGAAATAAGAATATAGACAAATATGGGCTAAACAACATACACAGAAATGACTGCCATCCCTGCCTTCTTCCACATCATGGTGCCACAAGAGGTCATTGTGATTAAAAAGCTTAGATATTTTTAAGAGAAAATGTAAAATAATAGGTAGAAAGGAAGGAAATATGCAAAAAAAGGAAGAAGCCATTAGATAATCTGACCCTGGGACATACTATGTAAGTTCTTTGCCCCCAAAATCTTCCCTGATAATAACTGAAATTAAAATTATTCTCATCTGGTTAGATTGCCTGCAACTCCAGCAACCAGAAACTTGTTTGATTAATGGGTATCTTTCTTGAAAAGTACTAATTAGCCACCAGCCACTAACAGAAAATGTGAATTAATTTAATGAGATAGCTTTCCTGGTTTGGGCAAATGGAAGAGAGAGTGGTCCTTTTGGAGCACAGAGTTCTTCTATAGTACATGGCAACCCATAATGGAGGAGTGCTCAAGTAGGAGAGCATTCGGGGGCTTGAAGATCAGGAGAAAGCGAATGTGGAGAATGCCAAAGGCAAACTTTGCTTACTTTAAAGCTTAAGTTTTGCAGAGGGTCTTGGGGCCAAGGTAAGTAGTTATTTTCCTTCTTCATATATGAAGGGCCTCTTACTGTCAAGAAAATACTATTCAACGTGTATGAATAAGTTCTGTTGATACTACTATTTTAACATTTATTCAATGGAGAGAACTTACAAACATCAAGCATCTGTTCTTCAGTTTGTGGAATACCTGAACATATGGAATCCTTTCAAGCTAACCAGAGGTGCATTCAAAAATGTTTTACTATGCTTAATTATCAATGGCAATAAATTACAAAAAAAGCAATATTTAGGCATTACTGGATCTAGCAAAATAGGCTTAAGCTTAATCTTCATGAAAGGGCTGAAGTAATTTTTTCCCCACAAAATTACTGTCACCAGCACTGCATTCTCATTTTTTTACAAATTGTTTCCTGAATTTATTCATGGTACTATGTGCTTTAGGAGAATAGATTGTTAGTCTATCTGAACAAACATGGTGTTTTCCCTTTGATAAAAAATTAGTTTGACATACTCTCCCGTCTAGAACAACAATAAAAACCCTCAAATTGTGCTATCTTTAAATACTACCAGTAACTATGAGCTAGAAAGAAAAACAATGCAAAATAATTGTTTGCAAATCCATGAGAAACCACAGTATCCTGAAGTCCTATAGAAAAGGGTTGGCTTTTACTGATTAAGCTATAGAAATTCCATCAAAAAATGCCCCATTCAAATCTGCATTTGTGGCTGCAGAGTTTCAGCCAAAATGGAAATGACTAGGCATCCTTATCTGGGCTCCTTCTACAAAATGAGGGTATAGTTTAAAGCTTTCCCTTACAAAAAGGTTTCCTCCTACTACTGTTGTTAAGTTAGCAAGCTTGAATTTTTCAGCAGAAAACTCACAACTATTGGGCACATCCACTAGCATACTTGTGTCTTTTACATAATGTTAACCCTCAGTAAGTGATGAAGAATCATGCTTTTCATTGTTTCATTCTTATAGTATCCCCTTCAAGTAGGGATAGATGACATGACCCTTCTGAGCAAGCTAATTGAAAATTAACTAAGATCACCTGCTTTTTAAAACCATTGATTATGGAAAGCCTGAAGGTTTATTTCTTTATGATTTTTTTTTCATTTTCTATTTTCACTTCCCCGAATTTTATCAATAGAAAAGCAAACATAGAGATAGTATCTCTGTCCTGAAATAGTATCTCTGTCCTGAAAAATTCAACACCAAAAAATCACACCTCTGAATATGATGTTTCAAATCTGACAGAAAGAAAGCCTAATAGCATAAACTAGGTGACAAGAAGAAAATAATTCAGAATATATGCACATAAATTGTTACATGCAAGTGCTTACAGTAATAAAGCAAAATGAGGAAAGAAACGGCAAATCAGAACTAAACGTTATAAAATATGATACCAATATATTTTTAGTAATGCTTCCATGTGGAATTAGATGTTCTTTAATGTATTTCAATTATTTCAAAATGACACCTCAAAATAAGAATACATACTTTTATACATCGCACCCAGGAAACAGATCTTCTGTGCATGTATATAGATCACTTACATTAAAAAGAGAATATGTATAGCTTCTTTTATTAAATACCAAAGTTACAAGTCTCCTAGCCTAAATTGTATACTCAGTAATCAACTCTCTCTCTGAACTAAACAAAATAAAATACACAGCAAACAGTACACCTAGCACTCACAAGTAGTTCATTTATATTCACTAAACAAAACTGTGATATCCTCCAGTTTACATTCATGAATTCTTTCTGTCAGTAGTAGTAGTAGTAGTAATGGCATTTTGTTCAACAACACAAAACAATTCTTTCATCATTTAGAAAATCAATACATACTACATAGTGGTTCTGAATCATAAATTTAATAATAAGACCAGTTTGGCCAGATCTTTTAAAATAAATATGATTTTTAAATGTGTTCAAATTTTATGTAGATCAGTAATATTACTTCCTATTTAAAACGGCATTTTATCTTCTTGAAGTATAACTATTATGTAGCATTGTCTAAAGTTTAATGAAATACATTACATTATATCATGTGTGCTAAGCACACAAGTCCACTACAGTAAAATTCCAACTATATTACCATAGGATTCAAGGTAGATTAATATACTACACTGTAGTTCAAAACACATGGAAGTCAGAAAAACAACAGTGTAGCTCATTTATAAAGGGGGACAAATGATGATTAAATCCAATTGGTTAACTTGAAAGTCAGTTTACGTAACACCAAGACAGTGTCAACACCATGTAATTCATTTTCAAAGGCTTAGCTATGACCTATTTAGAAGATTACAACACCAATATAATATTGGCTAAAAAATTCTTTACTTGTACTACAATTCCATTAGATGTAAAATGTACAAAAGCATTATGGAAATCTTTATTTCTAGATGAGGCCATTTATGGATAATATACAGGTCTTTCTGCACATATTATCCATGATTTGATTCTTCTGTAAAAATGTTGGCACCAACCATATCAGAAATTCATATATTATCACAACTGTATTCTGTTCTACCACCAAACTACTATGTCTACATTTAGTAACTTCACAAAATCAAATGAATGGAATCCTTTGGTTGTACACAATAACAAGCTTCGATAATAATTTTAAATTTGTTTTTCTTTTTTTAAAAAAGGCTATCCTTCAGAATCTGATATTAAAAAATACTGACATTGCTTGGCATTATACTATTATATATGTATCGTGATGGTTGGTAATGATTCCCCAAACCATGATTTTATGAAAACAGAAAAATTATTACAGTAACTTTATTTGAAAGGAATTTTAGTAGTTAGTGTGCTAACTACTAATTTTAGTAGTTTAGTAGAGAAGTTGTTAGGACTTTTTGGACACCAACTGTAGATTTAAATAAATATTTGAACACTACTGTAAAATAACACAGTATGAATATTGTGGACCTGTATATATATTTTTTAAAATCTCACTCCTCCTAACAGGGGATTTTTAAAATATTCAAGTAATGTAGCAGAAAACAATGCCTTTGATATAAGATTAGGCAAAAAGCCACACAATTAATTTTCTCTTCAATCAGTTTTGGCCGAGGAACACTACCAATCTTACAGGCCAGTTGATGTTCGCTTTTTCATGCTCCGTCTCTGAGCTAAGCTTGAAGCAGCAACAGGCTCAAGAACTGGTTGAAAGGTCTTGTGAGTCAGGGCAGAAAATGTGGCAACCACTGCTCCCTAAAATAATGACAAGTCATTACAAATTGAGTAATAATCTTTAGAAGTAAAAAAAGAAAAAATTTCCACATTACATCATGAGACATTTAAGTAGAACAAAATTTATCCTCAGAAATATAATTGAGTATACTTGATATATGCATCAGTGTTCCCTTGATGAATTAGTACCTGATTACTTCTGCACTTTTCATTTCAACAGCTATGCTTCACAGAAAAAAACTCTTAAAACACTAATATATAAACTCTAGGCTCAATGTTTAGGAATACAGTGACTGTTACAAATGGTTGTAATTTAGGAACTAACAGATATTCTTTTGTTTTCATATAAAATTTGTATTTAGTCCACTCCTAGCCTCTTTCAAAATCAAGGCAATTACAATTAAGAAATTTACATTTTATCATCAGATAGGCAGTAGTAAAGAAAAGTTAAGAAGGATAGTACATGGTTGTTATTTAAATAAACCAAAATCAAACAATCTAGCTTTAAAAAAATGAAGATACTTTAAGGAATTACCTGTGTCATCAGTGAATGGCATCCAATGGCTTTATTATTTATCAAGTATTTAGAAGGCACATTAAAGTATGTTTGTTGGGGCTGGCGCCATGGCGCAGTAGGTTAATCCTCCACCTGTGGCACCAGCATCCCATATGGACGCCAGTTCTAGTCCCGGATGCCCCTCTTCCAGTCCAGCTCTCTGCTACGGCCTGGGAAAGCAGTAGAAAATGACCCAATTCCTTGGGCCCCTGTACCCACATGGGAGACCTGGAAGAAGCTCCTGGTCCTGGCTTCGGATTGGCATAGCTCCAGCCATTGTGGCCATCTGGGTAACAAACCAACGGATGGAAGACCTCTCTCTCTGTCTCTGCCTCTCACTGTCCGTAACTCTAACTCTCAAAATCTTTTTTAAAAAAGTATATTTGTTTTACCTTAACAGCATGTGATGCATCACTTCTCTTTGGCTGATCATTCCGCAACTGATCACTGTGAGTTATCCATGAGTGCTTTAATATTTGCTCAGTAGTGTACCGTTGATGAGGGTCCACATGAAGCATATGGGAAAGCAAATCCTAAATTTAAAAAAGCATATATATATAATATATATATATGTCATTCCATATACATTTTTCAAAACTATCAACGGATTACTAGCTTTTAAATCTGTAATATTTGACCTATACTTGGGAAAAACAACTTATACTCTGCAGAGTTAACTTTTAAAAGCATTCTGAAATAGATTGTTGAATATACAGTAAATCCTTATTTATTATTTTGAATTCAGAGGATGCCAAATCTGTGGACCTGGAATGTGGTTAGTGAGGAAGGGGGAAAATGCAAAGTGGCAGGAGTTATCCTGGAATGTGCTAAATGGTCATGAAAAAAAGGAGCTATTGAACTGCTGGTAACCTGGGTCCCAAGGTATAAGGGTATGTGTATTCAAACATAAATAGCAGAGAGCCTCGTGTTATAAATCCACTCAAAAACTGTGAACTTACTGTGCAACATATTATAGAAAGCAGTAACATAAAGTCTAAATCAGCAACTGGCTGCTTGCATAGTAGTGATCAGAACATCATAAGCTTTTAATCTCTGAATGTTTATTTTACATCTAATTCAGTAAAAATAAAGTTGTTATAGTGAAACAGTTTTAAACATGTTAAATTATGTAATACTTTTAAATAAACTATTTCTACCAAACATCATTTAGAGAAAGGAAAGTAAGCACTCTGTAAAAACATTTTCTAATATAGAAACAAAATTAACATTAGTGAACTTCTCATCAATAGCAGAAGCAGTGAAAACTAAGTACTCTTAAGTAGTAATACCAGATTCTGAAGATTAAGGTGATAGCTTGAAACTATTTAAATAAATAGGGCAGCCAATCAAAAAACACTGGGAAAATTCTGAATTGCTTCCAAGTGCTTCCCAGATCAGGCTGCCAATCCCTGTAAGTTAGCCTTTGCTTGGCAAAGGAACAAGAGCTTTTTTTTCCCCTTTTGTTTGAGAAAATTCAGAAACTCGAAGGCAGCAGTAGTTAGGATTCAGACTAACCTCGTAAATAATGAGGGGGCTACTTCCAAAACTAAGGAGAAAGTGTTCTCCAAGTAAGTCCTGAGAATGGCAAACAGATGGGTTTGTTTCTGACCTTACACTTGGAAGATCAAGGTTAAGGGTAAGCTCTGCATTTGTGGTAGCTGCCCCAGTAGAAAAAGCCAACCTACTCTCCTAGTGGTGGTCTGGGCCCTGGTACCAGCCCTATGGGTTACTCCAGCCAAGAAAGCACTAAAGGTCCACCAGCCACTCACTCTGCCTGAGCTACAATCCTAATCCCAGGCACATGGCTGGACCAATCTTCTCTGATTTCCATAGGTAACCTGGGTGTTCTTTTTCTGTGTTAAGATATTCTGAAAATAGTTTTACTGTAGCAGTACCTTAAGGCACTACTGTTAAGTTAGTTGTAAGCTTTTGTCTCCCCCTTGCTAGCCTACAATGTATTCTCAATAAATATTAGAACTAACGAAGTTTAAGTTCCTCCTCTTGCTTTCAGTACCCTTCTCGACTCTTCACTAACCTATCCCTTCAGTCTTTACACAATCCTTAGCATGAATATGATGACCTAGCCAAGTAACCTACTTCCCATACTCCAAAAATTTCCTTTCTACAGATGAGAGATAAATACCTGCCCCCCAAAACTAATGGTAAATTTCTGGCCTCCAGTAATGGAATTCCTTCCATCAAAGTCACCTTTTACTTCTAAAAGAAATCAAATAGATATTCCTATTATGGTCCCTGCCAAGGATCAACAGGAAGTATGACCTATTCAAAATAGATAAAAATATCTGTTCTAAGTGTCCTTCTTGGTAGCCAATGGTAAAGCACAGTTGGGAGGCCCCTGCTTAGATGTAACTGCCTTCAATAAGCCTTCCTTGATACCTATGCCTAGGTATGGCACCTCTCACTCTTCCTACCTCTGTGACTGCACTGACCACATTCTTAAAATGCCCTTTTAAATCCGCAGTCTTACCCCACTAAGATCTTTAAATGAAGAGCCTAATCTTCAATTACTGTGTTTCCAGCACCTAAGAGCATTCCTGGTAAACAGTAGACATTTAATAAATACTTATTGATAATAAGTAAGTTAAGCCTCTGTTACACTGTACCTCAAAGTTTAAGTTAAACTCATATGAAAATAAAACTGAAAATTTTTTTTAAAAATTAGGTAGTAAATTTATGTGGTAAATCCCATACAACACAATCTTGCATTGAATTAAAGTTTACACCATTTACCAATCTTAATATGAAAATATAGTCATCTAAGTGGAAACTGGGAAACCAGTATTTCCCACATATTATTAAAATAAATTTTCTAATGCATTTGCTTAAAGCTGAAATAAATTGAAAAACTATTGCTTTAATAAATAAAATTGTTTTTTCATAAAGTATACTGGGAAAAGAACACATGCAGAAATAAGTGGAAAACTGATACCAGAAATAAGCTAACAATGAATTATTTCAATAAAACAGACTTAAGCAAGTAATCACAAAAATGATAAAATTTCCACAGTCCCCTTGGACTTCTGGCCAAGATGAAATAGCAGGGTCAGGATTTACCCAACCACTTGAAACATCCCTCAAAAAAATATAAAACATATGACACAAAAGCTTTCAGATCAGCAATGGTAAACAAATCAGGTGAGCTTTCCACCTTGAGAGAGTTTATACACTGCTATGCAAATAAAGAAAATCCAGGAACAGCCTGCAGATTTAAGTTAAGAAACAACTCAGAGGAGAATAAGCCTGAGAAAGTAAGAGGACTGAGTACAAGAGAAATAACAGGATCAGAGAAAAACCGAATTAGAGATGAAGAGGGTCTTTTTCAAGCGTTCATTGGATTACTCATAAGCATGTTTGAGGAAACAATTGAAGGCCTTGAAAACTACCTGAAAAGATTGGAGGGAAATCATAACTTATACAAGTGGGACCCATAAATCTATATAATTATATGTCATTTAAAATTTTTCTTTATTTTTCTCATGATTAGAGGTTCATATTTAGAGAAAATTCATTTTTATGCTCTTTTAGATAAGAGTCTTAAAAAATGCCTTTGCCTCTTGTTTAGACATAATTTATTTGCATGCTTTACAAAAACAATGAATCAAGATGCTACCAGGAAAAAAAGTACTTATGCAAGGTTGAGAATACTGCCTATTTTTTTTTTTTGCAGCAAATTTACAGAACAGTAAGACAACGCATGTTTTCTCTCACATGTGGAAGCAAAAAAAAAAAAAAAGAAAAGAAAAGAAAAAAACAAGTGGATCTGAATGTAAAATAGTGACTACTAGAGGTTGGAAAGGGGATGCAGGATACAGGGAGGCTAGACAACGGGTACCAAAACACAAAACACATTTAGATGGAAGGAATAAGTCTTAGCATTTCACAGCATAGTGGTGTGAATACAGTTCATAATAACCTATTACACATTTTATGAAGAACTAAAAGACACTCAAACACTCCACATGAAGGTGGGAATACTAATTATCAAGACTTGATCAGCACACATTGTATAAATGTCTTAAAATATCACACTGGACACTATAAATTTGTACAATTATTACATATCAATAAAATATTTATAGGATGTTAAAAATAAAATTATATAAAATAGCAGGCATACAAAAGACAGGAAAATATAATGAGGAGAAAAACATAATCAAAACTGATCCAGAACTGACAAATGTTAGAATTAACAGAAAAGGGGGGGCACAGCATTTTGGGGCAGCATGTTAAGCTGCCATCTGCAATTCCAGCATCCCAAATGAGTACAGGTTCGAGTCCTGGCTGCTCCACTTCTGATCTAAAATGCACCTGGGAAAGCAGTGAAAGATGGCCCAAATATCTGGGCTTCTGTCACCCATGTGGGAAACCAGGATGAAGTCCCTGGCTCCTTGCTTTGGCTTGGCCCAGCCCTAGTCATTGCGGCAATTTGGGGAGTGAACCAGCAGATGGAAGATCTCTCTTTTTCTGTGTGTCTCTCCTTCTCTCTCTGTAATTCTGCTTTTCAAATAAATAGTCTTAAACAAAAAGAATTAGCAGACCAAGGCATTAAAACTGTTTTAAAATTCTATTCCAAATTTTAAAAGTAAGACAGAGACGTTATAAAAAGATTCAAATCAAACTTTTAGAGATTAAAAACTATAATGTGAGATAAATGTGTAAATTTGTCAGAAAAAAAATACTGGTGAAAATCCAGCAATAGACACTACACAAAATAACACAAAGTATAAAACAAACAAGCAGAAGAGCACAGTAACAGTGAGCTCTCGGACAACTTCAAATCACCTAAACTATAAATACAATTGGAATTTCAAAGGAAAGAGGGGGAGAAAAAAGACTGAAGAAATAATGCCCTTCCAAATTTCCATATTTGATGAAAATCAGAAGCCAACCAATTCAAGAAGTTCAATGATGCCCAAGTAGAAAAAAAGAGGAAATTATATAAACTCACATCAAAACCAAATTATCAAAATCCAAGATGCAGAGAAATTGATAAAAGCAGCCACAGGAGTAAAGAGATATGTTACACATAGTGAAACAAAGAGAAAAATAACAGCAGACTCCTTGTAGGGGGAAAAAAAGTGAAAAGACTTTCGAGCTTTCAAGACTTTAAAGTATTGAAAGAAAAAATGTCAACCTAGAATTTTATGTTGAATAAACATATCTTTCAAAAACAAAAGTCAATGTTACCAGATACAAAGAAGGTAATTTTATAATGGTAAATGGAATAATAAATCAAGAGGACAAACTTATAAACAATGTCAATGCTCATTTAAGAAACAGATAACCTAAACAGCCACATACCTATTCAACAAATTTAATTTATGGTTAAAAATCTCTAACAAATAAAAATCCAGTTATAAATGGCTTTATTGCTAAATTTTAATAAACATGTAAAATGAGTAACTAATTATAAATAACTCTTCCAGAAATTTAAAGAGGAAGGAATATTTCCCAATTCATTTAATGAAGTCAGTATTACTATGGTTCCAAAACCAAACAAAGACATTATAAG